GTGGCTGAGAACAGCTATTTGATTTTCACTGACTTTGGACATAGAAGCCTGCAACAAAACTTTGAGTTTGGAGACTATTTCTTTGCTCAGGGTAGCTTGCTAAGATTTATTTTCCAGTTTTAAAGCAGTTAAGCAACTGGCAACTGAAGTCAGCAACTGGCAACTGCCCAAGGTTTAAGCACTGTAGGTGCTAACACATTACAGCAGGTGCAACAGAATATACTTAATGACTATTAGTAAATCCAGGAGAAGTGCACTATCTCTGCACAGGCTGGGCTGCAGTCTCCATGCTGCCTGGATGCACTGCATGGGGAAAGTGCAAGGACTTCACTGCAGCTCCCTGCTGCCATGTCATCTGGCTCTGATGCAAATTACAGACAGTAAGAAGTTCTAACTTGCATCTTTGGCATTAGGCTTGGTCGTGGCCATACAACTGTGGGGAATCCATGGAGAATCAGGCCTAGCAGAGATCAACTATGATATACCCCTTTAGATGCTTTGCCATGCCCCCTTTGCATCCCCTTTGCATCCCACTTCTTCCTTGTCTTAGGCAAAGAGAGTGATGGAAGCAGCTGGGCAGAAACCAGTGGAGGGCTTCCCTGTGCAGGGAAGATTCTCCTCTGATCATTTCTGGCTAGTTTTAGTCTACTTTGTTCAGCATGAGTAGACTAAAAAGGCAGCCCACATGACCTGCCGTGCAATCAGATACTGGCCACAAACACATTCGCTTATGGTTTCGTTTCAGTACCTGTGACAAGAGCTCAGCTGCTAAGAGCAACGGAACATTGTCCCTCTACAGAGCAAAAGCTACTCCTTGAGAAACTGCTTAAACCTGGGGCCTCCCATCTTTCCATAGACACTGTATGGTGGATACCTGTGTTTCTACTTGTCATCACATCACAACGCCTGTCCTTACATTTACTGAAGGAGCCAATTCCTCTCCCATTCACCATCCCAGGATCTACCTGCTCACCTGTTTGCTGTGAGAAGCACCTCTCCTATCAGCTATTAAAAGGACCTTCTCTGATTAGCTGCTTTAGGGCCACCTCTCCTCCCATTTGCTTTCACCTATGGTAAATTCAATCATTGTGTATATAATATTAGGGAAGCATTTGATTTATTGTAGTTCATGGAAACAAAGGGGAGGAGCCTGCGCACTTTCTGCAAAGCACTAGCAGAGCTTGTGAATCTGTACAGACTGCAAATTGAGAACCACTGAATTAGAATGAAGAGTATTAAAGTAACAGGATCTCGGTAGTATCACTGCTGCTAATGCAGTGAGCTCTAGGGTTACCAACACAGCTGATCTTGCTTGGAAATGAAGGGTGGGGGAGGCAAACATCTGTCTCTTGCAAGTGAGTCACACATACAGAGTGACTGGCAGCTGGGCTTGCAGACCTGTCAGGCAGTAGATTTCCACTGTATGCTGACAGCTCCAATCAGCATCTCATGGTGCTGAGCCAAATATAGGTCCTGCCTGATGTGGCCTGGAACTTAAGCAAAGCATGTTTGTGCCTCGGTAACTTCCCCCCTGCACTTGTTCACTTCAACCTCAAGATGGATCCACTCTCCTGCAATTCGGAGGAACAGCTGGACACGGGACGGAATTTTATTTTCCCCCCGTTGTGTCTAAATGGCAGATTCCTGACTGTGTGAGTCGTGCTGTTGCTACCTATGCAAAGTGTGTGATTCCACTACCCCTGCAGTGTGGACACATAAGCAAGCATGTGTAGGCTCAGCATACACCATAGGCTGTACACTGGCTGGGTATGTGCATGGCTAGGTATATACATACCTGAATGTAAGTCTTGGAAACAGCAGGGAGGGAGAAGGGCCCTCCCATATGTGATTCCAGTAGCTGAGGGCACTTGCCCAATAAGCAGAAGACCTAGGTTATAGGTCTACCTACCCAGAGGGGGTTTGCCTTCAATGCGTTTGAGTTCCCAACACAATACTCTAACAACCACAACACAAGTTAGCCATTATCCAGACCCTTCTCCAACACTCCTCTGGAAACTGAGACACTGAGATGGAGAACCTGCATTCATGTGTGAACAGCATATGAAAAAAAAGAGTCCAGGACTTCTTGACTGAGAAGATTTTAAATCCTGGAGTCAATTTTGTGTCTTTTAGGTGTTTTGCAAGAGAAATAATATGAAAAACAAAGATAAATACTGTTACTTAACTGACTGGTGGAGGTTCATTCTGTTCTCTTGCAGTATCAGCAAACCTGGCCGAACTCATGCACTTCAGTATGAAACAGAGTAAATCTTCCCGCTCTTCTGAGCAACTTAGCTTATATCCCATCTAAACCCCCTGCTCTTACACAGCTATTTCTATCCAGTGTTAATGTAATATAAAAACAGACACACATTTATCTGCAATGAAACAGATGCCCCTAAAAGAGCGTAATTCCCCTGCAATGGAAACCTCTGCCCAGAGGAGTAAGTAGGAATTTTGGTGACATGGGGGGATGGGGGCGGGGGTGTGTGTGTACTGCAGCACCCTGGGGATAACTTTCTAATGCCCCCTAAATTGACATCCATCCCTAATTATGCTACTGCTTTTGCCATCTGTTAACAAAAACACTAGAAATATGACTGAGCGACCCAAAGAGCACCATGACCACCCCCTACAAATAAGCATACATGTACAATCAACAATCACATACTGCAGAACAGTTCAGGATCCCATTTCCCCTCCTAACCCACTCTTTCATTTGACCTCAATTGCCTGACCCCGGATCTAGATCTGGCAGCATACTTGATAGTCCACAGTTCTGGGATATTTTGAACCAGGTTGAGGAGTGAATTTCAAATTGAGAGGCCCTTCCTGAGACTGCCCTGCCAAGCAGCTCCCTGTCCCAAAGATCAACTAACTCAGGCTCAGGCTGATCACAGATGCAATGGTATCCCACATGGAGTGAAGGAGGATCTCAGGCCTTGTTCTTTTAGGGTTTATAGATGGAGACCAACACCTACATTCAGGAATGTGTGTGAAGGGAGAGCAGTCAGGAGGCCTATAGGACATATTATCCACAGGGATCAGAGAATGGCCCAAGGCTTGCTAGAGACAGTTTCCTGGGATCCAGGGGCAAAAGTGCAACATAAATCCTAGTCATATCAGGGCTGGATGGCCTCTGGTGTTACTCTACCACTACCTGGGCAATCACTGTCTAACAGAGACAGTAGCATGATGAAAATGCTATATGGCACACTGCAGCGTTGGACACAGATACTCAAGCTAGCTGCCAATGAGCTAGTATGGGGATACTGGGTGAAGGCTGGCTGGGGCAACACAGAGCTCCACATGGGTTAACTCAGCCTGCTTATCAGCAGAGTACTCTACGCTATTCTGCAGCTTGTAGAGCAGACTTATTTAAAGTGTCCTATACTCTAGGACAGCAGTTCCCAAACTAGGGGTTGTGACCCCAAGGGAATCACAGCACTTATGGGTGAGGTTACAAACCCCATAGATATTCAACTGTAAAAGTCAAACTTGCACCAGAAGTGGGAAGGCAAGCCTGGGAGTGGACCTGCATGCCAAGAAAGACTGAGAACTGCTGTTCTAGCAAGTACCAGGCTGTGACTACAGTAGACACCAATATACATTAATAAATAAGTAACTAATAATTAAGGGAGATGCCAAACTCAACTCACATATAACATGAGCTGGAGCTGGGTTACATTTTCAGAGATAACAAGCTAACATGTTAAACCCTTTGAGCTTCACTCCTGTGGTTCTGAGGGTGTGCCTTGCTCTGAAGCTCTAGAGATTTTCTGGCTGCACACAAAGGGAAACCTCTGTATAAATCAGAGAAAGATGAATTTAGTCAAGCAGGAAAAGCAGACAGGAAGCCCATCAGGAAGGTTAGAAAACAGGTCCCTGTGTACTATGGGAGGGACTCAAAACTGGGAGGGAGGGCGGGGGTTCCCTATTATTGTGTGCAACTAAAATAAAATATATTGTAAAACCTCATTCATTCGAAACACAGGAGACCAAAAAATATGGACTTCAAAATAAATGGGTTCCAAATAAATGAACCAATAGTGTTTTGCATATATGCAAATTACTACCAGTATCTACAGACTTCATTCACTCATGTACAGACCTAACTGATATGAACAAAATGAGGAGTTATCCCAGTGACTAATTATGCAGATGTCAGGGGCTATAACACAAGGAGTTCCTAATGTAGACCAGCAGCAATGATCTAGGGACCCTTTCTCTTCTGCTCAATGTAATTAAGGAACTGTCCCGCCAACTGCCCCCCTCTCACCTTTGATCCCACCTATCGATGGAAACCCCTTGTGGATTTGGCATCTCCAGTCCCATGAATCCACCCCTGATCCAGCCCCCAATCTTGCATATAAATGGGGCTGCTGCCCTACCGCCCATCCCTGCATTCTCCCTTGCACCCTGACACTTGCTGTCCTAAGCCCTGGCCCCTTGGCGTACTCCTGCCTCCTTGGGCACTCCCAGCCTTCAGGGATTGCCCTGGCAGTGAGGTCCCCAGGCCTGTTGTGCACAGCCTGCATACTCTACAGCAGGGGGGATGCAGACCCCACCTTCCCTCTGGCCATCAAATGCCTGAGGGGACAGGAGCATGTGGACTGGTCAGGGCTTGGGAAAGCAGGTGCCAGGGCACAACAAAATCTGCAGGGGTGGGAGGTGGGGGCAGCAGCCCCAGCTACATACATAATCATGGGCAGGATTAGGGGTTGGTGAAACCGGGGCGGGGAGGGGAAGCGAGGTGTTAGTGGGACAGTTCTGCACTTAGATTCATCCAAGCAGAAGAAAAAGGGGCCCTATTTCACTGCTGCTGGTCTCTATTAGGAACTCCTTGTGCTACATCCCATGACATCTGCTTAATCAATCACTGGGATAATATTTCATTTTTTTTCTTATCAGTTAGTAAGGTCTGCACATGGGTGACCTAAGTCTGTACATACCCATAGTGATTTGGATACATGCAAATTACTATCTGTATGCTTATTTTGAACCCATTTACAGTATTTCAAAGTTGGTATTTTTTGGTTCCTTGTGTTTCAAATTAACAAGGTTTTCCTGGTCCAAAGGACCAGAAAACAGCTTTGAATTTCAAAGGAGACATCTATCATATTATGCATATACTAATGCATAGAAAAACCTATCCTTCTGGCTAGGGAGTGACATAGCTTTGAAGTATCCAACACTTTGAACTCTCTGATACCAAATTAACAAGGTTTTTCTGTAATCAGCTACATGGGACAGTAAATGAAATGATGGCAGTGGTCCACCAGCACCTTGCTTCACATTCCACCAGAAAACCCATGACTGATAGTCACACATCAGGCCAAATAGGAAATTCTTCTCATAGTCCTACAGAGAGCTTCAGCAAAACTGAGCTAAAGGCCTGCCATGCATCAAAGAGCAATACAGCTCACAGAGAGCCATGTGCCACCCCAAAATGTCTGGAGGAAGAATCCATGTCAGCTTGAAAAGCAGAAGGCTGCGGCATAGATGTCCACAAAATAGCAGATCAACTGTCTTGTTGAGCTCTCAGCAGTAATGACTTTGGATGTACAGGTACTATGGAAGTATAGAACACAAGGGGTCAAAAGTAGGGCTAGATGAACTTCATGGAGCTCAGGGCTTTGGCTAATGATGTTTCTGGGTTTACCAGATTAGTATGAATTCTTTTTCCAGTAAAGCTGTTTTAATGCTAAAAACAGACATATTCCTAGGCAGCCATAAAGCAGACTGGGGAGTCGGTTATTAAAGAGGAGACCCTTCAGATACTGAACTGTCCCACTTGTCTGTGGGCCAAATTCTCCTCTGAGTCACGCCATTGATCCTAGGAGGGCAGTTCTGATGTGCCTGAGGGAAGAATTTGAGTAATATGTCTGCTTTCATTAGGAGTTTTCATCTCATATTTATCTCCTCCTTTCCTCTCCACTCCCTATCTGTTTTCTCCTCTGCTGTCACCATGTTTTTCTTTTTTTTTTTCTTCCTCCTTCCTCTATTTTTCCCTTTTTCTGCTAACTGGATCATGGGCCCAGTGCTGAGGCTGGAATGTGAATTCAGTGTTTCAATAGGTTTGAAACCAATTTCCCAACTGTAAGTTTATAAACACATCAGGGTCTGCATTCAGGCAACACATCATTGACAATATACACCTCTAACAAATTAGTCCTCACGGGACTTCTCTTTTTGGTTTTGTACTCTGACCCTTCCCAGAGCATCATTCACAGCCATCACACATGTGACAGCAAAATGGTACATTCGCAATATCCAAACCAGAGGCTTTTTCCTAGAAGGGGTTCTTTCGAGCCAGCCCATTGAGATGAACTATGGAATGGGTAAGAAGCAGGAGGAAAATGTGACACCCTGTTGCCATGTCAGAGCACTGCAAAATGTGAGGGGTGTGATGTTTAATGAGTGCAAACTCTCCCAAGTCCCCTTTTTATTCTGTTTGCTTAAAAGCTACAGACAGATCCAGTTTGTCTGACGTTCCCTTGCATGTGCCTCTGCTGTTGCTCCACAAGCCTCTGCCAGGCTGAGATCAGTTGGTAGCTGTGGTTTGCTGATGTCATGAAGGACACTACCTTTTAAGTGGCACTAAGAAACAAGCCAATGTCTACGCTTGTAACCGCCAGCTCAGAAATGTCCTTTTAGTGTTTATGCCATGGTGGGAAGCATGAGCAATGATGGGAAGTGGAAGCTCTCAGGAGCTGCAGACTCTGCCTGGAGTCCTGTTGGGAAAGGATCAGAGAGAGGAAATGGACATCACAAGGTAATCAAAATGCAGCTCAGCTCGCCCTGACTGGCTGAAGGCCTGACTGTGAGGTACTGGGTGGCTAATGGGAACGGGACCAGCTCTCATGAATCAGGCTGCTACGATCAGGCCACATCCCAGAATAGAAAAGCCTCACATCAGTATTTAAGGAAAGGCTTTTCCTCTTAAGAGAAGATGACATATTACTACACTGACAGTGATAATACCTAGCTTTTATAATACTTGTCATCAGATCTCATTACCAATCATCCAGCAATCCTGCAAGGCCCATCAGGCACTGAGTGAAATGTGTGTGCCTAAAATGGCTAGAGATTGGTAGATGGAGGATATCAATTTTCACTGTCTTTGTCAGCCACTCCAAATTAAATGGCAAGATAGGATCAGAAAGGCAGACCCTGCAAAAACCTCATTAGTCCTGGTATGGTTTCAACAACTTTTTTTCTATAGACATATTTTTATGTGGAAGACCAATAAATTATGAAACCTCTATATCAAGGGATGGTGTTATTGTGCCATTCCCAAAAGCTTTGGGAGGAGAATAGGATCACTAATAATGGACACCGGACAGACTGTCCTGAGGACTTAATCAAGACTGATCCACCTTGCATTAGATCCACAAGGAGCCTAGGCTCGTTTGGAATTGGTCAGTAAATCTCAAAGTACTTTACTGAGAAGGCCTCAGTTTAAGAGATGGGAACATTGAGGTAGATGACTTGCCAAAGGTCACCCAGCAGAAAAGGAGCAGGAAGAGAACCCAGCTCTCCTGTATCCCAGCGCAGGCTGCAGTCCACTAGACCACAATAGCTCTCCAGTGTTTTAGCATCCCCTGGCTTTTAAAGATCTCAAAGCATTTCCTTTATCTGCTCAGGGCCAGAGGTATCTTCATTAAAACCTACATTTTCTCCCTTCACATTCCCATGTTTCTCACCTGTTAGATCCTGAGATATATTCTGAATGCTGAACTTCTTGTTGAACAATCACTTTCATGACAATGATCTCACTGGCCCAGTTTTGCCACTGCTGGATGTGACACCAGTGCATACTGATGCGAGAGGGAAGAAGCACTAATGCAGAGCTGGTCAAAACCCAGAAGAATTATTTAATGAAAAGCTGAAAATTTTCTAAGTTTTTTCCTTTCCTCGATTCAATTTTTTTTCAGGATTTTGCAGTTTTACTTAATTTTTTTTCTCTACATATTTATCATAATTTTGGCTTTATCATATAGCAACCTCAATAAAACTTTGTATAAAATGTCAATAAAAATGTTGATAAAAGCCCTCATTACAATATCAGCAAAATGGAAAACCTAGGTAACTTTTGTTTTAAAAAAAGCTTAATTAAAAAGGTTAATTTTAACAAAACAATCGCTACCCTGATGTCTTCAGTATTATCCAATGGAAGAGAAATAAGAAAATACACCTGCTATATCACTGCCAGAGGTATCTAAAAGCCGAGACTCCCTTTCAGTGAATAAAAGCTCTTCTCAGTCAGGAAACCTAAGGAACTAACAAAAAGCCCGATGTTTCCCTTTCTAGCTTAGTCAAGTAGCCTTTCTAGGCTAGGTGCTGTTAGAAGTACAACAATCAGGGGTTTTTTTCTTTCTTTTGGCTCTCAGCTACAATCACAGAAAGTGGAAACATTGCTGCTAGTCTGCAAGCTAACCAGCTCTGCAACAATATTTCTGTCACAGCTTTAGAAGCTAGTTTCTCTGAAACTGTTGGAGTCAAATATTAAAACTAGTAGAAATCCCATATTCCAAAATACTATATCCCTTTGCAGAAAACATTGCTTCTCAGCGTCCACATTTTCTGTGGATGGTAAAAGTATATTTGAATTTAAGTGAGAGAACTAAGCAAGGTAGTAATCAGAGGGTGCGTCTACACATTCATTAACGTGCTGGAATTATGGTGCATGAAGTTTAGTACCTCTAAAAACAGGTACTAATTTAATGTGCTGTAATTAGCATGTTTAGGTGATGCTAATGTGCAGTAGATGAATTCTACTGTGCGTTAGCATGGTTTTTTCCTGCCACGCTAATGCACAGTAGAATTAATCTACTGCGCAGTTAGTGTCTTTTGTAGATGCCCTACCCAGAGTGATGTAACTCTAAAAGTGTGCTGTTGCAGGGCCTGCAAGGTTTAAGAGTGACTAATGACTGATGTAAATCATTTGAGAGATGCAATTCCTACATTGATAAGGCATTTGTTTATATTCTAACAAATGCTGAAGGGATTAAGCCTTAAACTAATGTCAGTAATGCTTTTTCAAATCTTGTCCTGCTCTGATTAGATCTAGCTCAGACCACAAGCCCACATGCAATAATTTAAACTCCTGAAATTGTTAAAGAGTCATTTTGCTTACTAGCCCACAAATGTTTGGAACTTTTAAGTCAGGTGACCTTTTTTAAAACTTTCAAATATAAAATATTTGACATAGTCCACTAGAAAATCAATGCAGGCTTGATTGTTGTTGTCTCTACTTCAGAAGACTGGCAATAAGTAGAAGGTTAGAGAAATTTGCCATAATTCTGTCCTCAAGAAACCATTTTTAAGAGAAGATATACATCATTTTACAGTTGTTCACCCTGTGGTTGCTAGGTAACTTCAGTAGATCTTGTCAGTCTGCAACCTGCTAATGAGAGAGAAAGATGGGAGGGACAGGGATAGAGTGGTTTTGGGCAGTGTAAGACAAAGTCCTACTGATTTCAGTGTTAGCTGAAAGAAGGAGAGAACTAAATGCATATGTGATATATAATTTCACTGACAACAGTTCCATTACACCAGAAATGAGTTTGGCCCACAAACCTTTCCTTTATATGTTTAGAAGCTCCTGCCACTGAGATATGGGCTTAGTGGCAGGAAACATTCAGCCTAGCGCTGACTCTCTGCCACCTTTCACCTTGCTCAATATACATATTAAAATAGGAGAGAAGAGTACAACGAGGAAACCTCACTTGCCTCATGTTTGGTTTTTCAGAGAACAAGGAAGTCTATATTACCCATGATCTTGCTCTGTGCAGAGGAGCCACCGGATCAGTCTACATAATGGAGCAGGTAAAGCCACAACACTCCTTTAGCAGGGTAAGACCTGTTTTGGTCACATATGGTGTGGAGGTTTGCTGCCCTCTGGAAGTCATTTTCTTCTTTTTGGCAGGAGCTAAGAAAAAAGATCTTGTTACCTTGATGGAACAGCAAATCAGTACTGGATTGGCACCTACAGTACAGTGCCAATGTCATCTCTTATGGCTTTCCTCACTGAGTGGTCTCAGGGTCTGGACACATAATACATTTACACTGGTTCAATTTATATAGTTTTATATGCTAGCATAAATTACACTGGGATGTCAAGCAGAGAGACGTGCACTTTTTGGGGTATTTTTTTGCAATAGTAGGTGAGCAATGGATGTGATATACCATGATGTCAGGCAAGGCTTTTGATACTATCTCCCACAACATTCTCATTAACAAGCTAAGGAAATACAGACTAGATGAAGGGCAGTGTAAAGTGGATACATAACTGGTTGGATCATGTGCTTAGTGAGTAGTCATCAATGGGGCATTGTCTAGTTGGGAGAAGGTATCAAGCGGGGTTTCCCAGGGGTCTGTCCTGGGTTTGGTATTACAGTATTTAATATCTTCATTAATGATCTGGACGATGGGACCGAGTGCAGTCAGGAACTTTGGGAATGACATCATATTGGGTGGAGCTGCAAATGACCTGGGATAGACTGGAAAAATGGTCTGACATTAACCAGATGGAATTCAGCAAGGGCACATGTAGTGTCCTTCACTTAAGATTAAATGAATGCATGCACAAATACAGACTGGGGAATCAGTGTCTAGGCTGCAGTAGTGTAAAGATGGACCTGGGGGTTACAGTTGATCATAAGATGAATATGATCCAACAGTCTGCTCTTGTTACAAAAAAAGGACAACGGTATATTGGGTCACATAAACAAAAGTAGGACTGGCAAATCAAGGGAAGTGATTCTTCCACTCTATTTAGCATGGGTGGGGCCGCACCTGGAGTACTATGTCCAGTTTTGGGCCCCACACTTCAAGGAAGATGTGGACAAAGTGGAAAGAATCCAGAAGAGAGCAATACAAATGATTAGAGGCTTGGGAAGTATGAGTTATAAGTAAAGGACTGTAGTATGAGTAAAGGACTATGAGTGAAAGAACTGTAGTTATTTAGTCTGGAGAGGAGAAGACTGAGGGGGGATTTGATAAGTCTTCAAATACCTGAAGGGCAATTATAGAGAGGATGTAGATGGGTTTTTCTCTGTGGTGGCAGGGGACAGAACTAGGAGCAATGGCCTCAAGCTGCAACAGAGGGTTGGAGATCATGCAGAGTTTTCTGACTATGAGGGTGGTCAAGCATGGGAACAGGTTCCCTAGAGAAATTGTGGAATCTCTGTCCCTGGAAGTTTTCAAGAGCAGGTTAGACAGACACTTGGCTGGGATGGTTTAGTGAAGAATGATCCTGCACTGATTAAGGGGCTGGACTAGATGTAGATCAGGGCTGTCCAACTGACAGTCCATGGGCTACATGCAGTCTATAAGGGGCTAATGTGCAGCCCCAGGCTCTCACCCTGCTGCAGCTCCCCTCCATCATTCTGGCTGCAATAGCACCCAGTCTCACGTTCCCTCCTCCCTCCCTTGCCTGCCACTTCCTACCTTTGCCCCAGGGACAAGGCAGTGTGGCAACATGGGTGAGTCCAGAAACACTTGTGGGGAGACAGGGGAATCATGTCCATGAAGTGCAGCAGTGTGGGGACCTGCAGCAGTTGCTGTGTGGTATCGGGATTGGGTTTCATAGTTTCATTGTTGTTAGCGGCTGGAAGGGACCTTACAGATCATCGATCATTGGGTCCAGCTCCCCTGTACTTGGGTTTATACAACGGAGTAGTTGTGGGGGATGAGGAGGGTGGAACTGAATGGTGCAGCAGGGGGTGCGGGTGGAGGGGAGCATCCGCATGGCACACTTGGTGTGGTCTGCATGGCATGCAGCCCCCACTCTTGTGGGCTCAGAAGTTGGACAGCCCTGACCTGTATGACTAGATGACCTTACAGTCTTACTTTCCTATGATCACAGCACCTTGTGACTAGGTGGCAGGAAACAGATAATAACACTTGTGCCTTATGCATACATCTACTCTTGGAAACAACCCTGTTTTTTCTCAGGGTAATGCTGCACTGGGATTCATTCCTTTACACCAGTGTTGGGCTGTACGTAATGTGTCCACTCCTTTTCTCTTTGATGTAAAGATGAATTAGATTAATGTAAATGTCTCATGTGTCCAGGCCCTCATGTGGTAGACACTGAGTGACCCTAGACAGGACATACCTCCCAAACAGACTTAGATGAGGCTTTAGATATGTACGTGCCTCTAACTGGGCTGCAGGCATGCTGCTCTGTGCATAAGGAAGGTACATGGGAGGAGGTATGCTGTAAATGGAATGCAGTAGAATAGGCAACTGTTTGGATAATAATGCTAGATGAAAAGACAGATAAATTAAATAAGTATTACACACGTATGTACATATACATTTATATATATATAGGAGCCATTTATTCCAAACAGTTACCAAAGCATCTTCTTTGTAGTAATGCCAGGAAAGAAATGGAGGCACAGCATCAATGCACGCACCAATGAATACTCTGCTTTTCTTTTTGGAACATAATATGTAGGTGCTGAAGGTGAGCAAGAGTCCCCTCTTTTTGGTGCTATATAGTCTCCATGGAAACAGATCATCTGCCTGGTTACAACAATTAATTCTTGGGTCTGGATATTTGGTAAACTGGGGATACTGCCAAAGGGATGCCTGTGTAAGGGATAATAATAATCCACCACCTACTTGCTTTCTGGAGATAGCTTTTGGACAGCTTGCTTTTCAGGAATTCAGCCATTTCTTTGTCTTCTTCTCTTT